ACTATTAATAAGCAGCAAATTAGGAATTTATTGAGGAAAAAAATCGTAGTTAATAGTGAATAAGTGTTCCCTATTCTAAAGTGTTACCATACTTGACATTCTAAAATGACAAAATGTACTGCAGAGCATTTTACATCCAGTAGAGGGCGATATGGTGTAGCATAATGACTGTAGGCTATCCAGGCTACTGACAATATAGCTTATAATTGGCCAAGTGAAGGCTCAAGACAATGCAAGAAAGGATGACAGCCAGAATCACAAACGATCCAGGTCTGTTAAAAGTATGGTAGAGGTAAAGTGATTATCTGGCAATATCTGTGAATAGCTTGGGTCTATTCATATTAGACACAACAGGACTATAGGCTATGTAAACTCTAATGCCATGACAAGATGCGCATACGTCCATCTCGCGCATGCACAGTCTTTTGCCATCTTCACCCATTAGCCGCTTTTCCACTGGCCAGTGCGAGCCGGGGCTAATAGCCTCGGACCTCGAGCACGGAGGCCGAAATCATGCCGCGTTCCCACCGTAGGGACAGTAGCCTCGCGGCCAGTGTTGGCAACTAATTTTCAGGGGAAGTTGCTAAAGGAAGGTCGATTTGTTGCTAAAAGTTGCTAAATGACGTTGTGATGTCATTGCGTGATGACGTCATTACGTAATCACGACGCAAAATTGTGTCACTACATTAAAAATATATATATGTTTGTTAATTTAGATTTGTTCGTAAAATAATATAATTACATAATGTAATTTTAAAATATAAATAACTATTTTTACATACAACATTGAATTATTGAACACTTACACATTTTTGAATGATTACAAGTTTTTTATTAGCTAGTAAACTAGTAAAACTACACATTCTGAACAATTATAGTTTTAAGCAGTGTGTTAGTAGTCAGTATGCTACACTCTAAGAAAAGATTTCACAGGTTTTGTACCTGCATTTTAAATTACGCATTGTATTTAGTGTTTTCGGGTTACAGGGTCACAACGGATAATTGATAATGTCCTGGAAAATTACTAGTACCTTTTCCATTTTTCTAGATATTTTTCTTACAGTGTACTAACTGATCAACAATCGCAGGTACAAGCTACTAACAAGGTGCATCATAAATGAACAATTATTAAATTATTATTATTATCAAATCGAATAACTGCAAATAGCAATAACTTAATTCACGCGATGTTGTGTACTGCTAGGCATCTTTGGTTGCCTCTTTTTGTGTAATTTTGTTGGAAAATGTGTGCCTTTTTATTGTTTGAGTAACTTATCAAACGTTGCTAAAAGTAGCCAAATAAAATTTTAAAATAGCTTAATTTGTTGCTAGGTGCTTTTGGAAGAAAAAGTTGCTAAATTTAGCAACAAAATTGCTAAGTTGGCAACTGACAAAATTATCGGCGACACGTCTTGCACTCAGGGGCGTATCCAAACTATTGTCCAATCAAATACTGTTGAATGAGATTGCCCCACCCACCACAGCTGTCTCCTGCTTTGCTCCTGTAGGCGTCAAACCCTTTCAGTGTGAGACATGTCAAAGAAAGTTTTCACGCTCAGACCATCTTAAGACCCACACTCGGACTCATACAGGTAAAACAAGTGCGTAAGCCTTTTTTTCTCTCTCCAGACTTCTCAAAAACCATTTATTGTATATGCATTGATTTGATTACAGCGCACCAATAAAATGTGTTAGTGTGTTTCCTCTCTGGTGGTTCTCAGGTGAGAAGCCGTTTGCGTGCCGCTGGCCCAGCTGTCAGAAGAAGTTCTCCCGCTCAGATGAGCTGGTCAGACATCACAGTATGCATCAGAGAAACGTGAGCAAACTCCAGGCTGCTGTTTGAGACACTGTACACGCACTGTATATATAAACACACACAAACACACACACTGAAACACTCTCAACAGTTAAGACCTGTCAGTCAGTGAACTGCACTGCTGATCTGATAACATGAATCATAGCATCCCTATAAGAGAGAAAATGGTGCGAATGCATATATAAATATGGAGTTTTATTGAAGTTTGCCTTATTGTATTTGACATGGAACACTGCCATTTGCTGAACAATGTGTCTGCATCATTTTGGGTCATCTCATTTTGTACTTTTTCCATTTGTAATAGTTTTTTTTTTTTTACATATATGGACAGTTGATTGCACTGGGTATACTTGTTTTTTGTTTAATTGGCAAGATGTGCTGGGTCACTTTCATTTCTTAATTTGGAAAATAAATTGTGGATGAGTGAGAACCGGCTGGTGTAAAAATCATATGCACTGTAATGCCTTTGTATATATTTAAGTGACAACAGTCTTTCTTAAAATGCCTTTTATAATAAACTACATTATAAATTCTCAGGAAATGGATTGTTTTACTATACACGTATAAATGTGTGTGTGTGTGTATAATATGTATGAGACACATATGAGTGTATATATACATGTGTACATATGATTTTATTTGCAAAAACAGATAACTGTTTTTATTCATTTTTATAAATGTTTTTTATTGTGTTATCATGTTTTGTGCTAGTTAGCTGTATTTTTAAGTTATTTAATCAAAACAACCCAGTTTGATTGATATTAATTGGAATGTAGGATAAAAAAAAACATGATTTTTGAACATTTTTAAAAACGGAGTTATCCGTTTTTGCAAATGAACTCTTCAAATATAGATCTATGTACATACTGTACACACACATCAGAAATTGTGTATATTTTTCAGTGCACGAACTCAAAGTTGTATGAAATTGTTAATCAGTAAGAGTCATTATTCTTATAGCCAATAATAATAAAAAAAAATTGTGTATATATAAAACGTATGATGTTAAATAATATATAATAATAAATAATGTTTAAAAAAGGAACACCTTATTTTTTAATAAACTAACAACTATTAATTTTATATGAGCAAAAAAAGTACACTGGAATTATTTCTCCCAAAGTTTGGTTTGGAGCATTTATTAAAAACTGTGTACAAAAACAAAACTGCATGCAAACGTACACCAATGTGAATACAAGCAAGCAAGACCCCAGAAACCGTTCCAGACGAATGTTCGTACGGTTGTCTCCGTGTGGGGTCACATGGAATGCATCTCTATATACAGATCTAATCCTCGTTCTGTTTAGCAAACACTGTATACCCTCATGGTTTGACTTCACTGCACAAAAACTGTTCATGATTGTCCTAAAATGAATGAGCGCTGAACGCATGCATGGATCAGGAAGACGGTCCGGGCTTTCAACGGCACCTCAAGTTTCTATATACAAAAAGACGAAATGCTACTGAGATTTGAACATTTGCATTATTTCTTATTGCCACTATGAAACACAGAATTGTTCAAAGCTTATGGGGTGTGAAATTTTTACTTGTTCTTGCAGAAAAAAAAGAGAAAGAAAAGAAAAGCAAGAAATCTTCAAGATCAAGGAATACAAATTAAAATCTTGCTCAGACACACAAATATATACATACACGTACATTCAAGCATCTAGAAATCAAATCGCATTTACGTAACATCAACATTACAAATGATAGCCTAGACTAGACTAAAGTGCGTTATTGCCCAGAAATACTTTGCCATAACAGAAGGGTCTTCTCGTCCTGAGGCAGCAGGTGTTGTCGAGAGGTCAGCGGGAGTGTTGATCGTTTTCAATCACGTATCGGCATCATAAAATTACGTCGGTCACTCCGATCAAAAGGAACATGGCTTCAGTCATTATAGTTCCCAACATCAACCCTGATTTGCCAGTTAAGCTCCTCACCTGCAGCAAGCAAGGTCTTTCATTGGTTCGCTCAAAAAAAGAAGCTGATTGGTCGAGAGGTTTGGAGGATGGACCCTCTTTGAGGTGTTCCTCACGCGGTCAACTTCATTCGTCCTATAAACGAAGAGAAAAGTGTGATCATTAAATACGCAATCATGACTAATTCATGAAGCTTTTCCAGTTTACAGGAAGTACTGGACTTAAAGCATGTTGTTGCAATGGAAAACACACAACAGAGCAACAACAGAAGAAGAATCCTTCATTTAGATTTCACTTACTATCTTACTGCTACTTCTGCACACTATTTTTAACCATATTTCGAGATCTAGAAAGTAGACGGTTCAGACACCAGGGGGGTTTAGTTAGTCATTTTGTTACTCATTCCTCACGAGAAACACTCGCTCTGCTGAGAAACCAAGTAAGCTGCATACATGGGTGACATGTATGAAACCGAGTCTCTTTCTCTGTACACTTGTATTTGTGCGCAGCTCTGTTTTGTTTACCGCTGTATTTCTACTGTCCTATAAACACCACCTACTGTCAGAGAGTGAAACTGCATTGGTCTGAAAACAAAAATCAACAGAAAAGCCGACAGAATTTTCTTCCTGAACATTCATGTTGGTGTGAACAGGAACATGTTAGCAACATGCTAAGCTAACAATAAAATTAATTAAAAGTCAAGTCTGTGATCATTCTAAATCAGTCACTTGTGAGCTTCCGTGACCTGTTCAAACATGAATGTTTGAATTATAGAATTCAACTGCACAATTCATTTTATTTTTACACTGAATGTAGATAATTATATACATTTTGTGAGAAAATACTGGTAAATCTCACCTCACGGTAAGAGTTTGGAAAAGTTTCCGCATACGCAAATGGAACTTGGAACTCCATGCAGCTCCTGTATTACTCTCCATTGAAAATGAATGACTTCCAGTCTCGCTTGACGTTTGGTAGTGGAAAAGCGGCTTTATTGTCTTTAGTCACGCCGCATCACACCGCTCGCATTCGGTACAGACACTGTGTAAGACGCACCTTTAGGACTGGTCCAAAATAGTGCTGGACAATTATTCAATATCAATATGTATCGCGATATCATTTTTTTTCAATAAAGGTGATATGATTTTTAAAAATTTCCGATATTTCGATATACATTACCAGTGTTTCCCATACATTTATTTATTTGTGGCGTTTGACTTCGTTGAATAAACATGAGCACTGCACGTTTCAAAATCATAACACGGCGCGGGTGTTTCATATGAATGTATCTCTGAAGAGAACCGACTGTCTTCAGAAAAGTTTCGATGGCATTTTAATTTTATCTGATAAAGTAGCATTCATGAGCGAAGCTGCTTTGATTACAGCCGTTAGTTCTACCACTCTCAAAGCGCCTCCTGCTGGCAGAGAATGAGTTTGCATTTTCAATAAGCCCGTCTCCAGCAACATTTCCAGTTTTTGTTGTTGTTCAATATTTTTTGTTTTCTGACTCGGAGCACTTTTCATATCCTTTTTTTCTGGCTGAAGTACATTTGTTTCAATCTATAAGAATAATCAGCCTACACTACCAGTCAAAGGTTTTTGAACAGTAACATTTTTAATGTATTTTTTATTTTATTTTTATTTTTTTTAAGAATTCTCTTCTGCTCACCAAGGCTGCATTTATTTGATCCAAAGTACAGCAAAAACAGTAAAATTTTGAAATATTTTTACTATTTAAAATTGCTTTCTATTTGAATAGATTTTAAAATGTAATTTATT